TCAAAATTGCATTTCAATTGCAATTGTCCAGCAGTTTTTGCATAAAAACCCTTTTCTAATGATCAACCTTAATGATAAGAATTTTGGTAAAGATTACTTGGTTAAAACCAAAAATATGAAGATTTTCTTACTTTTAGCCACCTTTTGGCAAGATGTGGATCTACCGAAATTTGAATTGGCTGTAATTAATTAATGTGCAAGTGAAAACGTGGGAACATTGGCTTTTAGACATCACTGAAGTCCAAAGTATCTAATTAAACTGGAGGAAAGTTGCCCCCAAAAAGTTCAAACGAAAAGTCATCGTACAGATTCTGGCCCACGGCCTATTCCTATTGTTCTTTTAAAGTCTAGCGGTGTAAGATATAATTAGACCACGGACATAGGCTTTCATGGTATCCCACAGCAGGTCAGGGGAAACATCAGGAGTCTTGCTCTCTTTGAATAAATAGTCCAATTTCTCTTTCAAAATTTCTAAAAGTCAAAAAGTCATGGTTCAAGAATGTGAAAATATAAATGATTTATCGTTAAGATGTAAAACCAGCTAGGTGTCCACAAGATCAAGTTCACTGCATATATCTGATATAGCCTTAGCTCTACTAGAAATTGAATTCCGTGTGGAAGACTATTTGTCCATCACTGGAGAGAAATGGCATTTAAAGTCTCCAGCTATGACAGTATTCGCCCCAATCCAATCAGCAAACAAGGAGAACACTTGCGAGATAAATTCATTTAACTGTACCGGGGGGAAATAAAAATTCAAAAATGAGATAAATTGGCCATGGAGACAGCCCTTTAACATAAGACATCGACCAGATTTATCAGACATAATTTGGACGTTGGATATTGGTAAATGTTTATTTGTTAGAATGGCAACACCTCTGCTCTTACTAGTAAAAGATGAGCTATACACCTGCCCAACCCAGTCACACTTCAAGTGCTCACTCGGAGTGAGGTGCGTTTCTTGTAGGAGGGCTATATGAATATGTTCCTTTTTCAGGAAACTTAAAATCTTTATACCTTTTATAGGATTATGTATACCCTTCACATTCCAACTGCACAATTTAAGAGTGGGTCCATCACTGGCCATCTTCTATTGAGGAAACAATCCTTGATGAAAATACTGAGAACACCTGGGCAACCTGAAACTAAACTGAAAAACAAACCATAAAGAAGAAAAGAGGGAAATAATAGATAGACTGCTTCGCTAACATTTAAAACAGAACTTTGCACAAAGGAAATATAACCCCAATAGGCATCGGGGTCAGACTTTGGTCTGTTACACCCATCAGGGGTGTGAGGTAATCTCCCTGCTCAAAGTGAGGAAGATGCTGGACCGGGTCTTATCTAACCTTAAATGTGTAAAGCACCTCAACCCCTGGCTTACAGCTCTAATCGAAACTAGTTACACAGTGTGTGAGCAACCATTAATGCACAGGCCGAAACAAAACAACAGACTGGCGTTAAACAAATGAGTTATATATGCTCACCCGCTCTTTAGACGAACCTGATAAGTCCAGTACCATAAAAACATAACGGTGTTGTGGAGAATGAAAGCTGGCTCTCAGTCAGCAGTGGTAACGAAGGAAGTTCCTTCGTACTGCAACACTTTATCCAGGACGGCAGCCACCAGGTCGGTACCGTCGCTGCCTTCAGGGAGCCCGATGACACGTATGTTGTACCGCCAGCTCCTATTACCTCCAGTTTACTATCGATGTCGGAAGGTTTAGTGACGTGGCTTCAGCCTCTTTAAAATGAGCATCCAGCAGTGTGATTTTAGACTAACATGCCTTGAGCTCATTCAGAATTGGGTCGATCTTCTTATCAAAGAAGCCTCCACACCTTTAAGCACAGTTATTCTTTCCACCAGACTGTCAGCATCAACTTGACCCAGAAGCTGCCTTTTGTAGTCCACCATGTTAGTTGGCTGCTAGATGGCGAGTTTGGTGACTGATGACCTGATAAAGGGGGTTTCGCGAGCAAGTTAAGTATGTTTTGCGTAGAAGGCACTCTCTTAGGTCTAGGCATCGAAGACTTCCCACTGAAGTCACCGTGTTCCACAGAAAAATTGTCTGAAGGATACCGAGCTGCGGGAGCACAAGCAATGAGCTGCCTACTCCGCCATTTGCGTCACATGACCCCCGTCTGGTGACCTTGCATTTTCCCTTATAAACTGACTGTGGAATGATTCCTCTGTCTACATAATCATTTCCGGCACGTTAAAACTTCTAAATACAACACTATGTAGTTCATAGTTTCCCAAGTAGATGAAGCCTCTGTATGTCATGAATCCAACACTGTTTATTTAAAAAACAATCAGTAATGACATCATCATTTCGAAAATAATTATTGACTTAAAGGTAATATGTAGTCGAATAATAAAATTACATTCCGTTTTGCCCTGCGATGGACTGGGGGACTGTCCAGGGTGTACCCCGCCTCTTGCCCATTGATCACTAGGCTCATGTTCTCGCCCCCGACCCCATTAGGGAATAAGCGGTAACGATAATGGATGGATGGCCATTCCGTTTGCCAATAGTCTAATTTGATAAACAAACAACTTGGGGAGAATAAAACCAGGTGGGTTACATAGGCAGGGCTTTTACTTTTGAAATCCATCGCCCATGGAACCAATTGCCAAAACCATGGTATCCTCTCTAACTGTAATATTAGTTTTTAAACTTTTACTTGGACAAAGCTGATCATTTTTGCTCAGGTGACCCTCCAATAGGCTGTAGACCTATTTTTGCTGTTGCATGTTGCACTTCTGTTAGAACTGCCTTTATTTGTTTTGGGGTTTTACTATTCCCTCAAGCATTATTTACAAAGGCTCCATCCCATCTGGACTTAGATCAATGAAGAAATATGTAAATAGTAGGTCTTCACCGTGTCCTAGCAACTCACAATATGCTCTAGGTCTAGGATATCAAGGCTGGCTCTAATTTACCCAAAAAATCCATTTATAAAAAATCCCTGTTCACTTGTCGTCCTTATGTTCTTGAAGTTATGGTCAGTGCCTCTTTAGTCATACTCTAGCTAGTTGTAAAAAAAAAAGCTATCCTTCTGTCCATGTTCCCCAACTGCAGTCAATGATGGAAAAAATGTTCCTTGATACCAGACACACCTTTGTGAATGCATGAACAATTGTTCAAATTATCATTATTTTTTTTCTTTCTTTTTAAAAAAAAAGATTTTGTTGGCTCTAGTGGCCTTTAATGACAGTAGCTTGACAGGAAAGGGGGCAGAGATAGAGAGGGGGAGACCTGAGAGATAGGGCCGTGGGCTGGACTCGAACCCAGGCCGCGCGCTTATGAGGTCTTCACACATGGTCCGCCGCTGTAACCGTTAGGCTACAGCTGCGGCCCAAATGATCATTAATTTGAATTTGATCTGCAATTAAGGTTTGTTGTATTTTGTGAAATATAAATTAACAATCAGAACTAACTTTCTGACATTAAAACAGAAAACTCAGTCAGCAACAGGGGGTACAAATCTACCACACAAAAGAGCATATCAAATCCTAATTTTGTGTTTTTATCCACTGAAACGTGCGATAAAAAGTTGACTTGCTAATTTCCACCGCTCTGCTCTGTTGTGTATTGTGAATGTGGTCTGAGGTAGCGCTAGGACATGCTAAAAATGTGAAACGTAATAATTACACCAACCACAAGGCACTCAAAGACATTAAAGCAATGGACGTGGTACCAGTTTCAATGAAGAGTTTTTTATTTTTAAAAATAGTTAAAATTGCTATACAAAAACCAAATGCACAAAGGCACATAGGGACAGAGACTTCTAGTGAATTATCCAATGTAAAATGAAAATTGAAATTAAAATATCAGAGTTTTGATCAATCAAAAACTGGCAATGAGACAAAAATAGTACAAATGCAGTATGATAAAACCCCAAAGGAAATAACACAAAAACTGAAGTAATCCCAACTACGTGCAACATGTCATATGTGATAGTCAAGTGATAGCCCACTGAATATTAAAATATCAAGAATCCAGCTGTATCGGAGCAGTTGATCTGGGCACCCAGAATGACGGGTATTGGCCTGAAGCAAAACGTTGAGCTGGTGGATGTAAGAGGGGGAGAAATGGGGGAGAGGGGGAGAAATGGGCAGCCCAGAGCCCAGCGTAGACGGAAGCCAACAGGAATGCAGTCAAAAACAAGCAAAGCAAATCAAAGCAAAGGTGGCATTCTATTTGCTGAACTGTTTAAGTCTGAAGACAGTGATGTCGTAAATCATGTTGTTAGGTGTGAGCGCCACCAAAACTGCATGCACGGGCACCAAGGGTGCTACCATGAAGCCCATTCAATTCAATTCAATTCAATTTTATTTATATAGCGCCACATCACAACAACAGTTGTCTCACAGCGCTTTCCAAACAGAGCAGGTCAGACCCTACTCTGAAGTTAACTACAGAAACCCAACAATTCCCATAACAAGCATTTGCAACAAGCTAGAAAAATAAGATATATTAATGCACTTCGACAGCTCTGCACCTATGAACACAGGACACCAGAAGCGAGATTACCCGAGAGTGGACGGTCTCAGAACCAAAGAGCAGGGGCCATTGAGGCCCCTCTTTTCTACCTGAGTTGCTAAATGGCTAAACATTTAACTGCAGTGACCTGTGATAAGTGCCAGGATGAAACTCACCATGCTATGTTGCTTGTAGAATGCATTTTCCTCTATAAACAAAGCATAGAAACTAATGAAACATCAAATACATTGTTACAATCATTTATAATACATCATCTCCAATTTTACCAACAGTATCTCTGTGGTAATTATAGTTGTGAAATCTTTATTCAGCAATGCACAACAAATCACTCCCAATCTTCAAACTTCATGACACCCTCAAAACCGTGGTAGGTAAAAGGCTCTAGAGTGGGTCTACAGATCTCTTCAGCATAGCAGGCCATCCTGTTGTTCTCACAGCTCTCTTCGTCACCAGGGCTAAAGTACACTGCATCTGCAGAATGGATAGATGGATCCTCATTGAAGTAGTTATGGGGTCGCAGCAAGACCCCACCTCCATTGCCCACAGTTACTGTGTTTGGGATGTCTTCAGCATGAGGGATATGAAGGAAACCAGTGGTCACCCAGGCAACAAGGTCCTGTAGATACGTTATGCAAAGTTATTTTTATTGTTATTCATTTTTGAAGTACATGAATATATGACGTACATTTATATATATATATATGTGTACCATAATATACTTAACGTACTTCATTTTCAATACTTTCATTGTCTTCAATATACTTGCTGAAGTCAACAGCAGGACTCCACATATCATTCTGATTGTAGAGACTGCTGCATGTCTGCTCTGAGTCCTTGTGTTTGGTGATGGCAACCTTGTATCTGAGAATAGAAAGAATTAATGGAGATATTTTGCTTTGTATGCTTAGCAGAACAATGCCACACGATCTTGGGATGTTAATGCTGTGAGACTTTTCACACATTTTCATACTGAAACTTTATCCTGCAAAATCAAATGAATATGGCATCTAAAGATGTCCACTGGCAATGTACTGGAACCAAAAACTCCACGATATGGGACAATCACCTTTATCTTCAAAAGAAACCTACCAAAACAATAAAAACTCTCAAGCCAAATATTGCACTGAAAATAAAAAAAACAGTTAATACACTTTATATAAAACCATAAATAACCAGATGTTAATCCTGTATCAAGGTTGGTCAAAGCTATAGAGAGTCATTGAGGAATGGCCACTTTTTTGTAATTGACATTTGAAGTGGACAGAAACTGGAATATTATGGATTACAATTAATTTGATTTGACTGGGTTATCATCATATCACAAAAGAGTAGATTCTAATTGTCATTAACTTAACTGAATTAATTAACCTTTTAATCGTTATTCCCTCCTAATTTAACATTGTATTTATCTTTTTCCTTATCCAGCAGTTTTAAACAACACTTGGCACTATGGTATGCTGATGTCTTTAATGTGTCAATGTCTGGGAAATATTTTTTTTAGTGTAGAAGTGTGACAGTGAACTATGCACTTTGTTGTCTGAGGTATGCATTCTTCTACTGACTGTCATCCAACTGGACTACGCTCCAGTTGAGATCTGCACAGCAATAGTTTATGTACACCCAGGTAGCCAAACAGGCTTGGCAAGGTATTGGATGGTTTTCAATGGTATGAATCCCAAATCCCAATTGAGACAATCTTACCTGTACATTTTCAATGGCTACTGGACTTGGTGCATGCAAAAAAGACCTTAACATTCAGTGCAGTAAGTATGTTTGTGAACATTTCAATGAAACTGACAAATTTGGATTAAACCATTAAATTCACAATGTGTTTTTTCATGAACCCTCATCAGACACACAACATTTATTTTATTTTATTTAATTACAATTCCATCTACATAACATACTGAAACAAGTATGTCTGAATGTGGTAAGTCGCCTGTGCCGACGGAGCCACGGGTAGCCTAGGATCATTGGAATGTTGGAAGATGACAGGAGGTGAAATTGGATGGTCTCATGGTGATTACCGGAGAGCAGCATGTGGACAGGAGAAGTCTGGTGCATGACAGTCCCCAGAAGATGGTCATCCAGGGCTTTGGCAGGAATTGGAGTGTCAAGCAGAATCTTCTCTAGTTCCAGTTGTATGGCTAAACTCTCAGCCATGATATTGGAATCTGCACCAAAGTCTATGAACGAGGGCAGTGTGTGTGCCCTACCAGAAAAGGGGAGCTTGACTTGGAACCGGGAGGGCTTGAGGAGGAAGATTTTGCTGCCATGTGACTCACCAGGATTTCTTCACTCACTGGTGAGCCCTATCTTTTAACAGGCAATGAGAAACATAATGTCCGGCTTGACCACAGTGCATGCACTGATTCCCCTTACGGCGGAGCTCTCGTTCTTCAGGTGTAAGCCTGGTGCGAACCACCTGCATGGGATCAGGCTCCACAACATTCCCCGTAACTGTGACGCTCGGGCTCCGCCCACCGGCTCTCACTCACTCCCTGCAATTAGCGACATTGGTCGCACCTGTCCGGGTCAGTACTTAAACACCACTCACTCACTCACCTGGGCCAGAACGTACCTAAACAAACGGTGTGAGTACTTCCAGCAATATTATTCTGCCTTCCTGCCTGTTACGACCTGACTGACCCTGTTTTCCGAACCTGCCTGTTCCTCGTCTGATTCTTCTGCCTCGCCTGAGTTCTGCCTGGTCTGACTCAGTGCCCTGCCTGCCTGCCCCTGTCCCCGACCCAGCCTGCCTGACTCCGCGCTCCCGCCTGATCCTCTGGACTGCTTCCCTGGCCTTGACCCTCGCTCGTTCTGGACCACGTTTTGGATTACCCCCTGATTGTTGCTGGATTCTGACCACACGGTGCCGACCTCGCCTGCCTGACCACGCCCACAGGAGTTTTCCCTTGGATAAACCTGTTTGAACTGACCGTTTGCCTCCGGGTGTTTTTGGGTCCGAGGAACGATCATTACAGTAACAGCGGAAAAAGATCTGGACGCAGATGAGGAACTTGGCCAGCGGGCTGGGTTGAGAAGACCAGAGGTGTTCTGTTTCCCCTCCCTTCTCTGGGCCTGGACGCGGAGATCCAGCCGGACAGTGAGCTCAATGAGTTTATCCAGTGTGGAGGGTAGGGGATAGGAAACCAGTTCATCTTTGACGTACTCTGCCAGACCATGCAGGAAAGCATCACACTGAGCTGCCATGTTCCAGTCGCTTTGACAAGCCCTGGTCCGGAAGTCGATGGAAAAGTCAGTCACTGACTGGTTCCCTTGGTGCAGTGAGGGTAGGTCAAGGGCAGCATCGGGAATAAAGGTGCCCCACCCGAAAACCTTGTGTAGCTCCTCAGAAAAGGCCTGGAATGATGCACAAGCAGGAGTCTGCCTCTCCCACTCTGCTGTTCCCCAGAGGAGGGCTCTGCCAGTCAGGTTGCTGATCACATATGCCACTCTGGCCTCCTCGTGGCGAACGTGTATGGCTGCAGACTGAAGAGTAAGGAGCAGGAAGTCAGGAAAGGACTGCAGAGTTCAGGATTCCCATCATATCGCTTTGGGGTTCCCACTATGGGCTCGGAGATAATCCTGGGCTGTGGAGGAGGAGGTTGTGTGGGAGCTGGGACTGCAGGCAGAGGAGTGGACAACAGCTGTTGCAACTGGGTGGAGAGAGCTGCCAAGGCGTTGGTGTTGGTGTTGGCCTCAGTAATATGTCTGGCATGATCTTCAGTCCCCTTCATTCTCTGCTCAAGTTGCACAAGTGCATTCTCGATCCTCTCAAACCAGTGAAGGTGGTCCTGCTTGGTCCATGTCTGGCAAGACTATACTGTAATGAGTGGCGAACGGACCCAAATGCAGCACAGAGGACTCAACTTTACTGTTGTAAAGTTCCATTCTTTAATAAGTCTCTGGCAGGCAGGCAAACAGGTCACAAACTGGCAAACAGGAACCAGGAGGGAGAAGCTGAACTCTTGGTCAGGGACAGAGGGCTGGGTCGGTTTACCAGGAGGCAGAAGAGCTGGGGAATCAGGGACAGGCAATGTCGGTACAGAGAAGACAGGCAGGTAAAGGCTGGAAAGTCTCGCATGGCAAAGAACAGTCTGGCAAGGAGTGAGTATGGAGCTCGTGAGTATCTACAGTTATGGCCAAAAGTTTTGAGAATGATTCAAATGTTAATATTTACAAAGTCTACTGCTTCAGTTTTTATAACGGCAATTTTCATATACTCCAGAATGTTAAAAAGAGTGTTCAGCATAACAGCAATTAATTGCAAAGTCAATATTTGCCAAGAAAATGAACTTTATCCCCCAAAACACATTTCAACATCATTGTTGCCAAAATGGCTCCAGGGCGCCCAAGAAAGACCAGCAAGCACCAGGACCGTGTCTTAAAAGTGTTTCAACTGCAGGATCGGGCTACCAGCAGTGCAGAGCTAGCTCAGGAATGGCAGCAGGCAGGTGTGAGTGCATCTGCACGCACTGTGAGGCCGAGACTCTTTGAGCAAAGCCTGGTCTCAAGAAGGGCAACAAAGAAGCCACTTCTCTCCTGGAAAAACATCAGGGACAG